AAACAATTTACTAAGAAAGGCCTTCTCCACAGATGATGTTGGAATAAAGTCATCCATATGGAATGAAGAAACCCCAACTCCAGTCTCATACCATAAATAAAAAAGTTAATTCGAGATGGATCATAGCCTTAAACACAAATGTTGAAACTCGAACGCTTCTAGAGGAAAACAACAGAAGTATATCTTTATAACTTGGGGGTTTCTTAGGCAGGATATAGAAAAAAAATAGAAAAATAGGCCGGGCGTGGTGGCTCAAGCCCGTAATTCCAGCACTTTGGGAGGCCGAGGTGAGCGAATTGCCTGAGCCCACAGGTTCGAGAACAGCCTGCGCAACTTGGTGAGATCTCGTCTCTACAATAAATCAAAAAATTAGCTGGGCATGGTAGTGCATGTCTGTAGTTCTGGTTATTTGGAAGGCTGAGATGGAAGGATTGCCTTAGCCCAGCAGGTTGATGCTGCAATGGCCATGAGCATGCCACCGCACTCCAGCCTAGGTGATGGGGTGAGACTCCAACTCGATAAAAAAATTATATAATAGAAAAAAAAATAGAAAAATAGACTTCATCAAAATAAAAAACTTCTGCCCAGTAAAAGATACTGTTAAGAAAAAAAGAGATAACCTTTAAGAAAATTAAAAAGGCCCATGCAATGGCTCATGCCTGTAATCCCAGCACTTTGAAAGGTCGAGATGGGAGGATCACTTGAGACCAAGAGTTTAAGACCAGCCTAGGCAACAATGAGACCTTGTCTCTAAAAGAAAAATAAAAATAGCCAACTGTGGTAGCCCACCCCTGTAGTCCCAGCTACTCAGAAGGCTGAGGTGGGAAAATTGCCTGAACCCAGAAGGTTGAGTCTGTGAGTTGTGATTGCAGTGAGTTGTGATTGTGCCACTGCACTCCAGCCTGGTCGACCCAGTGAGACCGCAACAAAAAGAAAAAAAAAAAGGAATAGAAACAAGCAGGACTAAATGTTTGCCAAACAACTATCAGACAGAGGACTGATGTCTAGAATATGTAATGAACTTCTACAATAATAAAGAGGTAAATGACCTGATAAAATACAGGCATGATAAATGAACAGGTAACTCAAAAAGGAAGACATACATGTGGCCAATAAGTACATCATTAGTCATCAGAGAAATGAAAATTAAAACTGCATGAGATGTACCATCTACCCAACAGGATGGCTAAAGACCGATACCAGCAAATGTTGCCAAGGGAGCCCTTAGAACTCTCATACATAGTTGGTGACAGTGTAAATGATATGATTACTTTGGAAAAAGATGTGGCAGTTTCTAAAGGGATTTCCTGTCCCATGACCCAACAATCCCACTCCTTGGCATTTACTCCCCAGATTAAAGTTTTGTTTTTTTATGATTTTGTTTTAAGAGACTTATACAAAAATGTTCATAGCAGCTCTGTTCATACTAGCTCCAAACTGGAAGTGGACTTGTGTTCATCGATTGAATAAACACTGGTATATTCATACTCAAAAATAAAAAGGAACTACTGGTACATGCACAACATGAATCTCAAAAACATTATGATGAGTAAAAAAGACTTCATAATTATGTACTTCATAATTCTATTTTCATAAAGTTCTAGAAGATTAATGTGTGGTGAAAAGCTTCAGGTCAGTGGTTGCCTTTAGGGGTGGGAGCAGGGTAGGGGGTTGAGTGGATGAGGCAGAAGGGAATATTCTGGTGTGACAGTATTGGTCTAGATTTTTTTAAGAGATAGGGTCTTGCTCTGTCATTCAGGCTGGCTGGAGTGCAGTGGCACACACATAGCTCACTGCAACCGCCAACTCCTGGGCTCAAGAGATCCTTCTGCCTCAGCCTTCTGAATAGCTGGGACTACAAGCATGTGCCACCATGCCCAGCTAATGTTTAGTTTATTTTGTAGAGACAAGGTCTCACTGTGTTGCTCAGGCTGGTCTCAAGCTATCCTCCTACCTTGGCTTTCTAAAGCACCAGGATTACAGGTCTGAGCCACCATGCCCGGCCTGGCCCATATCTTGAACTGATCTGTATATTAGAACTTATCAAAGCGTACATCTAAGAGTTGAGGATTCCACTACAAATTCTGCTCACATGGAGCCCCAAATATACACTAAGGTTAAACTCTAATGACAATACTTTCATCAGAGTACTTTTGAGGGGGAGTGCATTGATGTTTGCAACTTCATCTTGGGTATGTAATAAAGCATACTGTGCTACTCAGTAACAGGGATACGTTCTGAGAAATGCATCGTTAAGTGATTTCACCATTATGCAAATAACACATAGTGCACTTAGATGGTCTAGCCTACCACACGTCTAGGTATATGGTATGGTCTGCTGCTCCTAGACTACTAATTTATATCGTGTGTTACTTATTGACTACTGTAGACAACTGAAATAGAATGGTAAATATGTGTCTCTAATATAGACAAGATACAGTAAAAATATGATATTAAAGTTAAACAATGGTACATCTGTATAGGGCATTTACCATGAATGGGGCTTGCAGGACTGGAAGTTGCTCTGGGTGAGCCACTTGAGTGAGTGGAGTGAATGTGAAGGCTTGGCACATTACTGTGCACTACTGCAGACTATAAATATTGTACACTTAGGCTATACTAAATTTATAAAAATATATTTTCTTCAATAATAAACTTAAGGCCAGGCACACTGGCTCATGCCTGTAATTCTAGCACTTTGGGAAGTCAAGGTAGGAGGACTGCTTGAGCCCAGGAGTTTGAGACCAGCCACTGAGCCCAGCTCCCCACACCTTTAAAATGGCCAGGCTCGGTGGTTCAGCCTATAATCCCAGCACTTTGGGAGGCCGAGGCGAGTGGATTGCCTGAGCCCGCGGGTTCAAGACCAGCCCGGGCAACTTGGCGAGACCTCATCTCTACAAAAAATAAAAAATTAGCCGGCGTGGTAGCGTGCACCTGTAGTTATGGCTATTTGGAAGGCGTAAGCAGAAGGATCACTGGAGCCCAGCAGGTCGATGCTGGAGTGGCCATGGGTGTATCACAGCACTCCAGCCTGGGTGACAGACTCCAACTCAAAAAAATAAAAAAACAAAAAACAAAGCAACCACAAAAAAACACATCGGTGCGAATAGGAACTTTGCAGCTATGCTCCATTATAATCTTATGGGAACTCCATATTGTAAAGGTGGTCTGTGGTTGACCAAAATGATACTTGGTACATGACAGCACAGAGAGATGGTGACTGTACAGTCTAGGCAGTGAGTAAATGGATGTTCACTGAACAATTCTTTCAATTTCTCTATATGTTTGAAATTTTTCATAATAAAATGTTGAGGGAAAAACTGGACAGAAGGCAAAGCTCCAGAAAAGGACAGTCACAGTGTGTTATCTCCACCCAGCTCCAAAATCAAAGGACTACAAAACCATTTGCAGGGATACTCAGAAGTCCCCACTCCCATGGCCACCTCCAGGTTTGGCTACAATATACAAAAGTCCCCAAACCACAGACCCATCGTCATCATATACATCTGAGCCCTAGTATCAAAATGCCAGAAGCACCATCCTAGGGTTTTATGCCCAAAAGAGATGTCAAGAAAAGTTTGGTGTATGTGTGCACACATGTGTGCAGGGGAAATGAGCCAGCGTAGCTCACCAGATGTACCGTCTGATACAGATGGGAAAACAGGGCCTGGCCTTGTATGTGGGCTCTACCGGGTATTTAATTCTAAGCCAAATTCCAGCGGCTATGACCCTGTCAGCTCGAGTTGATAGTAGTAGACACAGTAAGAGTTTCAGACCCAAAGCATAATATTTAGGGTGCAGTAGCTCACACCTATAATCTCAGCACTTTGGGAGGCTGAGGTGGGAGGACTGCTTGAGCCCAGGAGTTTGAGACAAGCCTGGGTAATGTAGTAAGACCTTGTCTGTACAAAAAATTAATTTATAAAAAAGCATAATCTTTAAATATATCTACAATTTGTTGTGTATTCGTGCATGCTGGCATTTTGTGTTATTTCATTTAATCTTAACAACTTTCTGTGAGGTAGGTTTATCATTCTGATCTTCTGAGGAAACTGAGGCTCAGAGGGTAAATAATGTGCCCAACAAAACAGAGTTGCAACTGGATGCCAGCATTGTTCTGCGAGCTGCTGGGGCACATGCCCTTTCTAGAAATCACTCTTCCCCAAATTCCTCTCTGGCTCAGTAGTAGCAGGGGTATAAAGTGTGTGTTTCTAAAGCTTTCTGAGCAGGGAGCATTGTGTACACTCCTGAGTAGGCCTCAGGGCACTGTGACAACTTTGGTTATCTCAGAGCAAGAGGCTTCCACCTCTCTCCCAAGCAAGACTGAACCAGCACGTGAGGTCCGACAGCCCTCCACACTCTGCGTGTCCACACAAGGCTCGCTCATAGGCCGTGTGAACTCTTTTCCTATGTATGTCCATTCATGGGCTTCAGCTGGTTTTCCATCTTTTTAAGAAGGGTCAGGCACTATGCGTTTCCACCTGCAAGTGCTGCTGACTGGAAGCCCGGCAGCCCCTCTCTGCACACTCCTGTTTACGTCCTCCTTCACTGTTTGTCTTTAACCCACCTTCATACTTCCCACTAAGCTGGGAGCACTGACAGCTTCAGGAAGGGTGGGTGTTTCTTCCTGCCAAGTCTGGGTTTCTAATTTTGTGGCTCAAAGTTGGAGAAGGGAGAGGAGGGGGAAGGGGAAGGGGAAGTGTTAAGAGGCTCTTGATTGGGGTAAGTGTCTGACAAATCTGAAGCCATATCATGCCACGGAATTCAGTGTGAGCGGGAAGAGCCCTGTTTCCCCTGCCCTCCCACTAGGGCTCAGCTCCAGCACTGGGTAGCTGCCCGTTAAGACAGGTACAGGAGATAGAGGTTTAAAAAAAACTCATGAACACCAGGCTTAGTGACTTACCAGTTCTTTTTAGGGGTGAGAAAGACATCTATGTAGGGAATGAATACGTCATTCACTTAGAAAAAAAGAGAAAGGAAAGAACCAGAGTCCTATGAAAATTTCTTTAATTTTCAGCTTTTGGAAATACATTTTTCATTTTCATTTCCACAATACAAAAATGTTAAAATCTAACAATGATCTATCTGAAGCAGATCTACTGAAGAAGATCCGTAAACTGTTGTTGTTGTTGGGATCTGTTTCAACAGAGAAGGGCTGGTACATGTGGTAGATTGGCCATGGTCTCACACACATGCGCATGTATGCACATCTGCCAGCTTAGCCCCCAGCTGCCACCCAAACAAACAGAAAAGACAACCTGGCTGAGACACTGAAAAGTGAACACAGCACTGCATGTGAGAACAGAAATGGACAGCTACTCAATAGCCCTATGAGAAGCTCACATCCTAGGAAAAGTAACTTTCAATAAATATGCTCTAGAGGCCAAGGCATATGGTAAGCCTCTCTGTGGGCTGAACCTGGTGACATCCTCCTAGTGCAAAAACAAGCATGACAGCGTCATCTTTTCAGTAAGCTATGGTGGGATGCAGGGAGACACCACCGATTTCTCCACTGGGAGATGCAACAGCCCCCAAATCTGAACACGAGAAGACAGGCAAGAACCTTTCTAAACAGGAAAGAGTTCAACCCAAATACATGATCACAGCAACCAGAATGTCAGTTCTTCTGGCAGATTTCACAGCTGACATTCCCTTAGGTGGATTCTGAAGCACACTCGTTCATGACAGGAAAGGTTCACACAGGCAACAAGGAAGTAACTGGTTAATCGTGCATACACTCATGACAGCTGTATAGCCGTGATGAGTGTCAAAAGACAGTTTAGATTAAAAACGAAAAAAAAGAAACACAGCCACGAAAATAAAAACCAGTTTTTTCTGGAGACACACTTGGTTTCCAGCCCCTCCCACATCCCATTTTATTCAGTTAATTACAGTATGGCTTCCAAATGTGCCGGCTGGCTCTTTCTCTGCGAGAGCATCAGTGGGTTGTTTCACTTGGGTCTTGGTTACCACATGTCAGGAACTTCGAAGAGTGTGGCGGGGCTGTCCGAGATGGCTCCTAGTGAGAAAGAGCGAGACAGTGTGAACAGGAGAACGGCACAGAGACAGAGGGCCCAGCACTGGCTGCAGCTTCAGATGGGGCGGTTTGGGGCCAGCTGCATGGCAACACTGGGGAGAGTTTATGCACAGGTCTAGCCTGTGGAGAGCATAGCTCAGCAAATGGAGAGGCCACAGAGGCATCACAGGGAATGAAGTGCTTGCCACCCCTGCTCTGGCTGCATCCACCCTCCATCTTATAGAAGGCAAGATGTCGACGCTCACACTCTCTGTCTCAGGGCACCACACTCTGTCCTCCGCTAGTGCCACACTGGGCATCAATTCATCTAATCTTCATAAAACCCGATAAGATGTCATCAATACTCCATTTTACTGATGTAAGAACAGATTCAGAGAGGCAAGGAAACATGCCCAGCCACACACCACTGGAAGTGGCTGAGATGGGGTCAGAATCCTTCCATAGCACCAAGTCCCTGGACACTGGGTTTCTCTGTGCTGTGGTGTGACCAGCGCCTAGATGAGAAATTTAGTTGGGGGCAACAGGGTGGAAGGAAGCCCGTCAGTTGGGGTTCAAGATCTCAAAAGGGGTAAAAGAAGCCTGTGGCCTTTTCCAATTGCAGCAAATTTGGCTAAGGCCCTCTTCTGGATTGAAGAGATCTCTGCAGTTACAAACAGTTTCACCCTGAAGTTAGAAGTCCTTTTTCATTCATGCCACTTTCTACAACAGCAGCGGCCAAAAATTGGGCTGGGATCTAGACTTAGTGAATGTGAAGTCAGTCAGGAAAGAGAGTATTCATAATGGAAAGTGTGGCCAGCCAGGCGTCAGCTGCACAAGTGGTGCCATGCATGAAGTCATAACGTAGGGCTGGCAGGGAAAGCGGGCGAAGCTTTTCTCCCAGATGTTAACAATCCAAGATTTCAAAAAGGGAGCGAAGTCTTTGATGATGCCTGCTATGGGGAATAACTTGTAGAAATGGAGGGGGTGCCATGTCCTACAAACTAGGACTCACTTAGCTGAGAGTGGCTATCATCAGTAACAGATGCCTGAAGATAACTAGGTCTAGGCACAAGAAATGACACAAAGAGAATTTCAGCTAACACAGAATTCCCACTTCAGAGCACTTACTGCAGTAAGATCCAGAGAGTCAGAATGAGACCAGGAGAGGGGTAATTGGGATTTTTCTTTTCTTTTTTTTTTTTCTTCAAAGACTAGTCAAGTGGATAACTGGAGTTTTTCTACCCTGGATCTCATCACTGTGAACATGGATGTCCTGGGACTCCCAATAAAGACCACAGGACTACCCCTGAGAAGTGAAGAGGGCCAAGATAACCCACTGAAAAGGATTCACGTGGTCCAGTTAAGTGCTGCAAGGAGCCCATGACAAGCTGTAACTAGCCTAGCTTTCTCAATCACATGTTCATATAATACCTAACTATAGGAAAATAAACATCAATTAAGGGCATTTTTACAATTCACATATCAAAGAAGTATTATAGTTGCCAATTAGTCATTCTAAAGGTAAAAGCTGCAACACCAAATGTGGGGAATTGCAGTAAATTAAATCACAATGAGAAGAAAAAAGATACATTGCTACAAGCAACTTCACTGTTGCTTGTCCTTTGCACCTGCCATGTCGGGACATGAGTACAGTATGAGCATCGCACACACAGGAAGTAACTCCGTGACGAGGTGGCAGAAAGAATGGAATAAGCAAAAGCTCTGGAGTGAAGCAAGTCGACTCAGACGTTATATTCGCTGGGTCACTTTGAAGTCTCTACTTCATCTACAAAATGGACCTCAGCCCATGTTATGCTGCACAGGACTTCTCTGATGCAGCAATGCTCCTGAGAGAGTTTTTAATGAATGTTAGGTCCCTTCCTTTTATCAGTAACGTGGCTCAACATTGAACCTTGTTGTTTCCTAGGAAGCCAAAAGCCTGGAGTCAAAAAGACATCAGTTTGCACTGCCTAAATATGCAGCTGCTGAGCAAGAGTTATGTGTCCAGAGGGACCAGAACTTTAGGAGTCATGACCCAGACTGGAGGTGAACTGAAGGTCAGTGCCAGGGCTCTTTTTAGCACTTTCCAGAAAGGGAGGGCTGTAGGCTAATGATGGATCAGTCTCAGGGCTGGTAGGCAAGGTGCAATGGTCAGCTTTCCAGAGAGCTCACCTTCACAACCCTGAGTTACCGGGTGTAGAGAATCACTTAGGAACAAGTGTTCTCTTTAAAAAGACACTCAACAACATCTGTCTTCTGTTATGGTGGACCCCGATCCATGTCTTGCATTATATGCAAAGATTAACTCAGACTGTACACTCACATGTAAAACCCCAAACTGTAAGATTTCTGGAAAAAAACATAGGAGGAAATCTTTGCAACCTAGAAGGAGGCAAAAAGTTTCTTAGATATGACACCAAAGGCATAATCTATGAGGAAGGGGGCGAACCTGATAAAGCAGACTGCATCACAATTTAAAACTTTTTTTTTTGAGTCGGATCTCACTCTGCCACCCAGGCTGGAGTGCAGTGGCATGCTCACAGTCACTGCAGCTTCAACCTGCTGGGCTCAGGTAATCCTTCCACCTCAGTATTCCAAGTAGTTGGAACCACAGGCATGTACCACCATGCCCAGCTAAGTTTTTGATTTATTGTAGAGACGAAGTCTCACCATGTTGCTCAGGCTGGTTTCAAACCCCTGAGCTCAGGCAATCCTCTGGCCTCTGCCTCCTAAAGTGTTAGGATTACAGGTGTGAGCCACTGTGCCTGGCCAAGCTTTTACTCTTCAAGAGACACTAGTAAAAGAATGAAAAGAAAAGCCATTGGCTAAAAGGAAGTATTTGCGAAACACTTAAAATGCCTTGTATCTCAATCTGTAAAGAACTTTCAAAACTCAGTAAGAATAAAATAAATACAATGAAAAAACTGGGCAAAAGGTTTGAACAGTTCACCAAAGAAGAGTCGTGGATGGCAAATGATCACATGAACAGATGCTCAACATCATTAGTCACTAGGGAAACACAAACCAAAGCTACAAGGAGATTCCACTGCATAGTCACCAGAATGACTTAAAAACAAACAAAAAGGGAGAGTGTGAGCAATAGTCTTGGTGAGGGTGCACAGTGACTGGAGCATTGGAGCCTTCATACCCTGTTGGTGGGGATGCAAAATGGTACAGCCACCTTGAAAAAGAGTGTTAATTTCCTATAAAGTTAAATATACAGTTATCATAAAACTCAGCAATTCCTAGGCATTTACCTAAAAAAATTGAAAACTCAGTGTATACAAAAACCTGTACACAAATGTTTATAGCAGTTTGATTCTTAGTTGCCAAAAACTGACAACAACCTAAATGTCCTTCAACTGGGGAATGGACAGTGATATGCCTATAAAATGGAATACTATTCAGCAACAAAAACGAATGAACTAATGATTCATGCAACAATATGAATCTCAAATGTATCATGCTAAACTAAAGTTAAATGAAAGACTCAGAATGCTAACTATTGCGTGATTTCATTTATATGACATTCTGGAAAGGACAAAATTACAGCGACAGAAAAAAGATCAGTAGTTGCCAGGATGTGGAGGTTGAGGTGAGGGATTGGCTGCAAAGGAGCATGAGGAAATGTTCCAGAATGACAGAACTGTTCTATATCTTGATCATAGTGGTGGCTATATGGTTGCGACCATCTGTCAAAATTTGCCAAACTGTACACCTAAGAGCAATGAATCTTATTGGATGCAAATTATATATTTTTATAAAGCCAACCCTGCAAAAGATACTAGAAATGATGTTTAAAAAAATCCAACAAATTTTTAATATGAAAAAATATGGTGATAACTAAGATTACTGGACCACGAGTTTCTAAAATGGGAAAACTGCAGGATATAAATTCCATGTATATACTCCTGGCACACTGTGGGGCTGAGGAAGGAGGCCTGCTTGAGGCCAGGAGTTGGAGACCAGCCTGAGCAACAGAGTCATACCTGGTCTTTACACAGAAATTAAAAAAAAAATTAGCAAGGTGCAATGGCATGCACCTGTACTCCTAGCTACCTGAGAGGCTGGGGCAGAAGGATCTCTGAGCCCATCAGTTTGAGGCTGTAGTGAGCTGTAACTGTGTCTCTGCACTATAGCCTGGACAGTAGACTGAAACTCTGTCTCAAAAAAAAAAGAAAAAGAAAAGAAAAGTTGCATATAGACTACGATGTCAATTGTATAGAAAAATGATAGAGTAAAAACACTTAGCAATAGAGTATCAAGTATTAGAACTGTGGAGTCTTTCTTCTTTCTATTTTTTGTATTCTACAAATTCTCATAGTGAGTACATTATTTTTATTTAAAAAAATCAAAATGTCTAAAAGGTGATGAACACAAAAGGTGATTGCTTATTTATACTTTCACCTAACTAGAATTGAAAGGAAGAAACTCTAAGGGGTAAGACATTGCTTTCCCCAGGTGAATCCCAAACAGGATCTAAAAAAACCACATGGTCCAATGGAAAACTGCCATCATATCATTTTCCATGGAGTGAAATTGTGTATACAGAAAGATTTTTGGGGAGCAATATAAACATTTTTAACTTGGCAGCGCTCAAGAGGAGACATACTGGGGGGCTTTCCCAAACTAAGGAGGCTGCACCCCTCTTGGAAGCTGGTGCCAGGAGGAACAGGGAGAGCAGACATGCACTAAGCACACAGCCTTGCAAGGCAGCACACCTGCCTTGTTTAAGATAAAAGCCACATTTTCATGGAGTAATTGAAAGGTTCCTTGGGAGGTCGCTAGGCTCCTTGAGCCTGGTCTCTCAGGTGACCAACAGCAGCAACTGTAGATCTTGTTTCTGACTTTAATAGTAGTACGAAGAGATTGTGCTCTAAGTAGATTCTAAATTTTTATATTGTAACCCTAAGGGTTTAAGCTTGAAAATTTCAGCAGATTAGTCAAGACTCCAATAAAACTCATGGTTCTTGGCAAACATTTAAAGGTCTAATGTGTTGTTTTAACTATTAGGGGAAAAAAAGACTTGGAACAATGTCTCTATTTACAGAACAAAAAAAAAACCATGAATAGTCAATGTATCTTCTTTTGGCAAGCCCCTGAACACTCTCTAACTGGGGTGCTGATGGAATCTCCAGCATTTTGGGAATGGTCAGCCTAGGTGGCATCAAATCATCCATGTGGGCCCTGAGATGTTCTGGAGAACAGAGGGGATGAGGTAGGGGTTTCTCCAGACCCCTGGAACACCCTATCAATAATAACAAGTGTGTTATAGAAATCCATTAATTAAACACGACCTGGGGCTGGGCGTGGTGGCTCATGCCTGTAATCCCAGCACTCTGGGAGGCCAAGGCAGGAAGACTGCTTGAACCCAGAAGTTCGAGACCAGCCTGGGCAACATAACGAGACCTCATCTCTACAAAAACGTAAACAAATTAGCCAGGGTGGCGCATGCTTGTAGTCCCAGCAACTCAGAGTTAAGGTTGTGGTTGCTGTGCATTCTAAGCTGGGAGACACTAACTCAACAAAAACCAAAACCAAAACCCATGAACGGGGGAAGCAACCTCACTGCCTAAGGACATTTTATTCCAGCATAAATGGCATGCAGAATCGCTTTCCTTTATGTACCAACCAGGAATGTACCTTGAATTGCTCTGGTGAAAAGTAGTTATTAGCACTGCCAATCACCACTAAGCATAGCAGATATAAAAGGGGAAGACTGACACCTCCATTTGCTTCCTGAAAGTAGGATAGAAACAACTGCACTTCAGAGAAAAATACCTGCTGAGTGCATATGATGCATAAAACAGAAACCCCAAAGGGGAGTGGTCAATGGGCTTCTACCAAATGACTTAAAAAAAAACAAAAGACTTTTTCATGTGACAGTGGAATAAAATAAAATAAATGATCATTGTTTCTGATCTAGAAGAGCTGCAAGAGACATTCCTGTTTGTCAAGAATTGTTCATTTCCTCTGAAGTGTGGATTAGCTCCACCCAGTGCAGAGGGTGCAGTGTAGGAGCATTGGAGTCAAGCAGCCTCTCTTCCCAGTACCTGCCATATAGTTTGACTTTGCAAGTCTGTAACTCTGAGCCTCTGTTTGCTCTCTGTAATGGGAAAATAATTATATCTATGCCTTACTGGGTGTTTGTAAGGACTAGACAAGATAATAAAGGACATTCCTAGCACAATGCCTAATAGAAAATATAAACCCAATAAATGGTCAATTAATTCTGTTATTTAGGTTATTTTGTTATCTTAGTACTTAATTCTTAGTGTATCTTCATCAAAATGTATAACTAAGAAAAAAAAAATGCAGCCTGGACAACCAAGTGAGACTCTAGGTCTACCAAAAAAAAAGAAAAGAAAATAGCCAGGTGTGGTGGCATGTGCCTGTAGTTCTAGCTACTCAGTAGGCTGAGGTGGGAGGATTGCTTGAGTCTAGGAGTTTGAGTTTGCAGTGAGATAAGATTGTACCACTGCAGCCTAGGTAACAGAGGGAGACTCTGCCTCAAAACAAACAAACAAATAAATATGAAAATGGAACTGTTCTGTGTGGCATCTGTTGTGCATTATTTGTTCAGGGATTGCTGCAGCACATCATACTCAATGGTCCTGGATTTTCCTTCTTCCTCTTTGGAAAACAGAAAGCTCCCTGGCCTTTTGTGTCTTTGGCTCCCTCATCGCCAGTGCAGGGCACCCACCACCTGCGTGAATCTGGTGAGCACTTGGAAAGATACCAGTGCTTAGACAATGCTTCAGAGCTGCTTTTGGTTAGACAGACTTTGCCACTCTGTTCCTCACCTCTAACACAGCTCCTGCTACCACCTTGAGCAGGCCCTAGCAGCTCCCGGCACACTTTGAGTACCTCTGGAAGTTTAATACAGACCATTAACAGAGGATAAACTTTGTACTCTTGCTCATTATGGGACCTTATTAAAGTAACTGAGCAAGCAAAATTGGTTGATTCAGTAGGGTTCAGCACCTGATATCTTGACCTACATCCGGCTGATACTAATAGGATTAAATGCTTAAAACAAACCAGGTGAGAGGGCTCATGAAGTTTCCACCTTGTACTGTCAGAGGCCTCACTGGCGAATGGTACTCCAGCAGAAAGCCCAATTCTCCCAGGTTTTCTGACTCAATTAAAAGTCAAGATGTCTCTCTTTTTCTTTCTTTAGCAGTACTGACAAAGAAGTACAAAATCTACAATTTTTTTTTTAGCTCAAATCCTGTGGCAGTGACAGCTTTACTGTCAATGGGAGGAAAAAACCTATTTTAACTACAGTATTATAAATTCAAAACCCTAAATAACTTATAGAAAGTTTTCACTTAAAATGATGAAAACTATAAAAGGAGTGAATGTATTAATGCAGTCTATTATTAGGTATTTTAATTTTAATATTTTTAAGATGATGCTGATAGAGAAGAAAAAACGAAAGCATGTCCCTGAGAAGTAATAGATAAACTCAAAATATTCAAGAGACTGAGCTATGAAAGTCAGGAATATAAGAGGGAAAGATTCCCCCATCATGTTCAGCATAATCTCTAAAAGCCATGCTGACACTTAATCGTTTACATTTGTAGAGCATGTGCAAGGTGATAACAGCGGTAACAAGGTATCAGATCTGAAGACCAAGGATGCTGTAGGTTTAAAAACTTCTCTAATACTTGATTTAGGGAAAGGAGAGGAAAAGGGAGCCACCCAGATTCAAGGAGACAGTAAAAATACACAATCAAGGCTTCAAACAAGAGTTTAGGTTTCTGTTAAAATTAAGTTTCAGCATCATGCATAAAAAGCATATACAACATTTTTGCTGCTTCTGTGATTTCATTAATATCAATGAGATTCAGAAAACTCCCACAGTCAGATCAGGTCACATGCAAAAAGGAATTAACTAAAACAGTGAATTCTTTTTTTTTTTTTTTTTGAGTTGGAGTCTCACTCTGTCGCCCAGACTGGAGTGCAGTGGCCGCTCCCAGTCACCACAGCCTCGACCTGCTGGGCTCCAGTGATCCTTCGGCCTCAGCCTTCCCAGTAGCCGGAATTATGGGCATACGCTACCACGCCTGGCTGATTTTTTGATTTATTGTAGAGATGAGGTCTCGCTGCCCAGGCGGGTCACGAACCCGCGGGCTCAGGCAATTCACTCACCTCAGCCTCCCAAAGGCGTGGGATTACAGGCTGAGCCACCGAGCCCGGTTAAAACAGTGAATTCTTAGCTTGGTATGAATCAAGTTTCACCCCTTGACTACTACCTTCCTTTGATTTGATTGTTAGTTCTGCTAACCAGATGACTATCACACTAATGTGAGACAACGGAGAATGACAATCATGTCTAGGTCAGCATCTCTCAACACATAACCATGCCCAAAGGCAAAGACTTAAGGTTCCATGACCTTGGGCAACTCACATAACACTCTTGGCCTCTGTTTTCTTTTTTTAGTCAGGGTCTCATTCTGTCCCCCAGGCTGGAGTACAGTGGCACCATCACAACTCACCACAGTGTTTTCCTAATTGTAAAATGGACACTGGTGACTGCCTCACAGATTTAAACGAAATAATTTCTGTTAAGCATTAAGTGCTGTCCTGGTTCTGTAAGCACTCCGTAAGCAGTGGCTACAATGATTGTCACCATGGCTGCTGCCTGACCAAGGAATGGCTGGACATCCCTTGGCAGCAGGGAATGGCCTTTCACACGTGCTGACTGACAAGAAGCCCTTCTGGCCTCATGTGGTGCCCCATGTAGGATCTGTGCCCCAGGGGCTGAATGAGGTCGTGGATCCTGGAGGCATGTCTGTGGTTGGAGATGACATGGAATTTGGTGCAGGCAGGTCTGGGTTCACCTTTTGGCTCTGTTTCCTACCAGCTACATGGCCTGCACCCTTTCTGTACCTCTCTAAGTCAAGGCATCTGCATCACTAATACAAGCCCTAGCTCAGGGCTACTATGAAAATGAAATGAAATAATGAGAGAAAAGCCTCCTACTACAGTGTCTAGCGAATAGTAGGCTCTTAACAGGTGTTAATTTCCTGTTTCTTTTGCTTCTTATATAATTCTGCTCATGAGAGAAATCCAGGTTGCCTGGGGGTTTTGCTGGGAAGAGTGAAAATAACATGTAGGAGTAGGCTTCTGTGCAGATTTAAACGTACATTTTAAATATTGAGGCTACTTGAAACACATCAGCAAAATCTCTAAACCACGGAGAGAGAGAGATTATCAAAATAGACTAACCATCTTTAACGAGGAGACAAACCCCCCCCCCACCGCCAGGCCTTATGCTATCCAAGCCAGGGCTTTTTAGGATTCCTTAAATTAAATTGATCCTAAAAATACTGATCTGGTGGAAAACTACATAGGCTTTGCCACCAAGTGAAGCCTTGCTATAATTTTTTCCCCAAAATATGAGTTTCTAAAGCTTACAACCGGGGGGGGGGGTGCCTTAAACCTGTAATCCCAACACTTTGGGTGGCCAAAGTGGGAAGATGCCTTGAACCCAGGAATTCAAGACCAACCTGGGCAACATAATGAGACCTTGCCTCTAAAGTATAAACAGCCCCAGAACTTCAACAAGAACCAATACAAACCTGCTGGAGAAAGCTCTTTCTTCATTCTTTTTAATTTCCTGGCTTTCTTCCTCCCCTCTGAGAGGGACTCTGCACATGAATCTGTCTGCTCAAGCTCAGCGTCAGAAATCTCCCCTGGTACTCTGTCCTCCAAGCCAGCTTCTTCTTGACTAGGACTCAGATTTCTCTTTCCTACTGTGCCGGTAGTTGTAAAACTGAAATGCAAAAAGTGGAAAAACATGGAAGGTGTTGAGAGTAACAGGAAGGGTAGCCTATAAAAATATTTTAATACTCTTAATTCTATTAACACTTAGCTAGCAATCAACAATATGGGCAGCTGCTGCCTGTATGTAAAAACTAAAGACCTTATTATGAGCCACAGTCTAAAAGTCTAACATGCTTATTCAGAAAGAAGTTCTAAATTATGCTTATAAACAGACACACACAAATGTAAGCTGTTCTTCATTAAGAACAAATCTGTAGGCCAGGCATGGTGGCTCAAGCCTGTAATCCCAGCACTTTAGGAGGCATAGGCGAGAGAGGATTCCCTGAGCCCGAGGGTTTGAGACCAGCCTGGGCTACATGGTGAGACCTTGTCTCTACAATAAGTCGAAAAATTAGCTGGGTATGGTAGTGCATGCCTGTAGTTCTGGCTACTTGGAAGGCTGAAGCAGAAGGATCACTGGAGCCCAGCAGGTCAATGCTGGGGTGGCTGTGAGTGTGCTATAGCACTCCAGCCTGGACAATGGAGTAAGACTCCAACTCAAAAAAACAAATAAACAAGCAAAAAAATAAATCTGTAAAGAAAATTTCTGGTCTGTATTTTGATAAAGCTATTGTCACAGAATAGTATAACAGACTAGTAGAACTACTATAACAAAAGAATGGTTTTAATTACGTTAATCAGAAGCTAGCTTGATTAGCTTCATGACTGTCTAATGGATAAACAGCAAAACTATGTAACTCTTGACAATGCATAAACTTGAATATTAGTTACAGAATATGCCCCACCTTCATGTAATCTTCTTTTCTAAAAAGATGACTTGTTAAATTTATAATTAAACCTCGTTTTATCTTTAAAGCTTTATAGGATTTGACATGTTGAATTAAATCAGATTATGTGTCCTGCTTTTTCCCAAGAAAATATGTTCCCTGAAATACAACTAGATAAAAATGGAGTCCACATAGTCAGTGAGTCCTTTCTCCTCTAAATGGGTCTTACAGATTTTTTATTATAGCCCCTAAGTTATGAAAAGCATAACAAAATTTCAAGGCATTCCATTTAAGGGAGGTCATTCAAGCACAGAGAGGGGGGCGAAGTGAGAGAGAGAAAGCGAGAGGAGACAAACATACTCCTATTAAATGCCTTCCCTGGGAAGTGAGTACTTAAAAATGCTTCATACAAAAGACTTTGGCTACCCAAGTATTCAAGTTCCTCCACATTACTCCTGCACTCACATCTTCTCTGAAGCTGACAAATGTACTTGACAGTACACCCGTGTGAAGGAGAAGAAAAAACCACTTTCCTGGTAGTTCTTCTAAGGCATAGGAAGCAGAAGAGAGATTAGAGCACTCTTCTTAAAATTGGCTGACCAGCATTCCTGTTTTCTTTTCTCTCTCTCTCTTTTTTGTAAGACAGAGTCTTCCTCTGTCGCCCAGGCTGCAGTGCAATCACTCAGTCATAGCTCACTTCAGCCTCTACCTCCTGGGCTCAAGTGATCTTCCCATCTCAGCCTCCCAAGTAGCTGGGACAACAGGTATGAGCCACCATGCCTGGCTAATTGATTTTTATTTTTAGTGGAGATGGGGTCTTGCTATGTTAGTCAGACTGGAGGGCAGCTCTTCATTTGTTCTCTTTTCCACATTTGTTACTGAGTTTTTTGAAACATCTCTTTTTATTGAGGGACTGTGAAGAGAAGGGAGGACACCAATGGTAATGTTTTGGGGGAGATTGTTAAAAAGTCATGCTAAAGTTTTTTGTTTAAAAACTTATAATGCTTTTAAGAAGGGTTTTTTGTTTTTTTTTTTTTGAGTTGGCGTCTCACTCCATCGCCCAGACTGGAGTACAGTGGCTGGCCCCCGCCCCCCCC